AGGGAGACAAGATGTAATATGATAAAAACTCCAAAAGGGAAAACTGAAGATGCCCTGGAGAGAAGACCACCAGGCGAGGTGATGGGAGATGCTCCCCGGTGGGGGGAGCTGGGGACGGGGAAGAGGGACCGGAAGAAGGGACAGCTTTACTTCCTCACGGAGTGGGTCTCCAGGCTGTACACTCACCGGAAGACCGGGGTGTTATCACTCGGGATGGGACAAAACCACTCCAAGTCAAGATTCAGGAGCACAGGTGAATGCTAGGAAGCGCAGACACGCCCAAGAAACAGCAAGAGCAGCTCTGAACGGAGCCGGAGCCGGAGCCACAGCAGGGGGACCAGGGAAAACCGGCCNTGCTAGGAAGCGCAGACACGCCCAAGAAACAGCAAGAGCAGCTCTGAACGGAGCCGGAGCCGCAGCAGGGGGACCAGGGAAAACCGGCGGCAGGGCCCTCTGAGCCACGTCTCACAGGCCACGGGNCAGCAGGGGGACCAGGGAAAACCGGCCGCAGGGCCCTCTGAGCCACGTCTCACAGGCCACGGGCTCCAGGCAGAACAAGGCCACACCTGACCTGGAGACACTGGGGAACTCACGAAGACTTTTAGGCAGGAGAGTGACTGGTCCCTCAGATAGGGGCGGGGCAGCTGTAATGAAAGGGGAAAGAGGCTGAAGGCAGGTTCCCTTCGGAGGCTCCTACAGGAGGGCGGGAGAAATTCCAAGAGCCCAAACAGGGGCTAGGGCCTAAAACGTGGGAAACGCTCACTGAGAGAGGAGCTTTGTCCCTCAACCTGTTAACAGAGGTCCAGTCTCAACTGGGATGGTAAGATACGCTGAGCACCTCCAGTGCCTGCCTGCAAATCAAAGCACCACACTGGGTACATGTGTCCAAAGGTCCCCAGCTGGACAAACAGAGTAGAGGCCTTATGTTGAGGGTTCGTTCATATCTCCCAAGTCCCTGAAGGCTGTCAGGACCTCTGCCCTTTCTCTTCTTTCCCAGACCTCCGAATCCTCCAGACCAGAGGCCTCTGAGTTAGTCACCTTTGTCTCCGCCCTAGTCCTCAGGTGCTAGGCACACTGTCTGGCTCACAGAAAGGGGTCGACAAGTGCCAGGTACTGTTACTGAGTCCCTTCTCATGTGTGCCATCTCCTCCCCTTCCCCTGCGGTCCCCATCCTGGCCTGACCCCTGCACACCTGATGGTTTCCTGGCCGCTCCCCTGCCTCCAGCCTCTCCCTGCTCTAATCAAACCCACATCCTGTTGCCAAACTCAGCTTCCTCCCCTGCCCCTTGGGCCCCAGTTCAAGAAACTGCTGAGGCCATGACAGTCAGTCCAAGTTGCTGCCCACCCTTCCCCAAAACTCTACTTCCTCCCACTTCCTAAACACGCAGTTTCCACTCCAAACCACCAGCCTTCCTTACTGTCACCTGAACTATGCTATGTCGGTCCACCCTTCTGAGCCTCTGCTTAGCACAGCTCCTCCGCCTGCCCCGCAAATCCTACGGCAGCCTGCAACTCCTGCTCAGGTTCCACATGCCCCCGAGGCCTCCCTGACCTCCCCGCTCCTCCTGCAGCTCTCATCAGCACGAGGCAGTGCTAGGGGCACAGGCGGACTGGGAGCAAACACCTGGAAATCGNAGTGCTAGGGGCACAGGCGGACTGGGAGCAAACACCGGGAAATCGAGGGAGTCCAGTTTACAAGCGAAGAGCAGGCAGAGGCAGTGCAGTTGAGCGGCGCGCCTAGTCCCGCGGTGCATTAGGAACACGGGAGACAAGGATATTAACCGTTGCAAAGAACTCAAGTTTCTAATTCCTCTTTTAAGAGCCCAGCATGACTCTGTGCCACAGAAAGTCCCTAGTTACCCGTCATTTGTCTTGGTTTCATAAAAATAATCTCTCTCTAAAACTAGGATTTGGTTTTTCTAACTGCCGGAACTTCAAGTATTTGGATGTTCATTGCACAACCAAGTGAAGGAGCCTAGAGGTGATTTATAGGGCACCCAGCCCCTCCCCGCAAACATCCACCAGCTTCCCAACCACTCGGAATAAACTCAGAAGTGAAAACCGTGCTTACTACACAAATACAGCTTGGAAAACGCTCCCCTCAGCCCCCTCTACATGGAAATCCTGGAGCTGTCACTGTACCCAGGGACTTTAGAAGGGTGACAATGTCCTGATTTTCCGCAGACAGCACAGAGGGGTGGAGCTGTCCCAAATTCTGTCCTGTACACCACCTTGTCGTCCACCTCAGGAGGCGTCCCCACCCTCTCCCTGTGAGTTTAGGCATCTCACCCCTGTCCCGAAGGGTCTGGGTCAAGTCTTCCACCAGGGCCACTGCCTCCTCGCTGCTCTCGGGCCTGTGTTCTTGCAGCCAGGCCTGAATCTCCCTCGGCATCACGGTGAGCATCTGCTCCTTGGTGTGCACCTCCGGCCTCAGCCAGCGCCGACAGAGCTCTCGAAGGCGGCCGAGTGCACCCTGCGGCCCTCCAGCGGCCTCCTCTCGGGGGCTGCCCTTGCCAGCACTCTGGGGAAAGGGCTCGGACTCAGGGCCATCCTCCTGCAGCACGGCTTCCTGTACCCAAGAGTCGTCCTCCAGGATCATGGTGGTGACCTCTGCCTCCTGTTCGTCTTCCTCTTGAGGTACCTGGACCAAGGGGCTCAGGGGAGTGGTTACTCCCGGTACCTCTGCAGCCATCACCCACGTTCTTGGGACAAACACTCAGGCTTCTAGCCTTTAACTTCAGTCTTCGCCAGCCAGGCTCTCTGAGAAGACTCCTCCCTCCTCAGATGTCAACAAGTAGCCCAGCTGAGAAACGAGAAAGGGAACCAGAATCAGTAAGTAAACTGTCCTAACGTGATCTAACTCACAGCAGCCCGGGTCAGGCCGCCAAGTAATTCTTACGTCCGCAAATCAACACAAGTTTCCTGTCCCTCTTAACGGAAAAATGGCTTATTCCTGAAAATCTAGCTCTCTCCATGGCAAGAGAAGTTAAGCAGGATCATAAACACAAAATACACAGCACTTTTCTTTCCAGAAGACCAAAGCATGAGGATCAGAAATCCAAAGCCCTTGCAAGTATCCGGGACTGAGGTATCCTGCCCGAAGTCAGCTCGGACTTGTTGCAGAGTGGGTGACCTTGACCTAATATACTCGACCTCACTGACCTCCACCAAGTAGAGATAATAACATCCATCCCTCTTATTTTACGGGGACATCTTAAGGATTAGCAATGGGTCAGATGTCAAGAGACTCTGAGCCTCACTAGAAGGGAGACAATATCTCAACTGCATTTTTAACATATTTTGAAGCATGAAGTTTTTAAGTGTTCATACTCTTTGGTCCAGCCTTGGCCCCTCGGGAGCTTATCTTTTAAAATCACCATCTTTGCAAAGAGAATCTTATTTGCTCAACCATAGCATTCTTTCTGATCACACACACAGAAAAATCGACCTGTACAAATCCAGCAGCAGGGGGAGGGTTAATCAGTTATGGCTCGTGCATGCAGTAAAATGTATTAAAAACTATGCTGAGAGAATCGTCGCTGCCTCTGGGAGGTACTGATTGAGAAGGGGTGCAAAGGAGCCTTTTGGGGTGCTGGGAATGTCCTGTATCTTGATTCCACGGTGGCTGACAAGGGCATACGCGTGCAATTTAAGATCCGTGCACTCCGCTGTATGTATTTTAAAATACTTTTAAAATGAAGCTGACAGGCCCGGCCGGCTGTGGCTCAGCGGTTGAGCGTCGACCTGGGATCCAGGCAATCGGGGTTCAATTCCCGGTCAGGGCACAGGCCCGGGTTGCGGGCTCGATCAATGACTCTCTCATCATTGATGTTTCTCTTTCTCTCTCTCCCTCTCCTTCCCTCTCTCTGAGATCAATAAAGGTATATTAAAAAAAAAAAAAAATGAAGCTGACAAAAATTATTAATCGTTACAGATATAAGACAATCCTCATAACAGAAAACAAAACCCTGGGCAGAGATTCTACGAGATATTGAAAGCAGTGAAATTACAAAATATTTAAAGACTACAAAAGCAATGAAAATTTATTTTTTTTAATCACTGCTATATCATATAAGATTCAGATAACAACCTCCCCCGCCCCAAAGGGGAAAAAATGGGGGCGGGGAGGGAAAACTTTTTTTTTTAAAAGAGCAAAACAGACGTGCCGGTGGGAAAACCCAAGTTCCCAGTGAGTGTTGACGACTGGAGGACACGCGGGGGTAACGGGGCTCCCCCTAGCACCCCGGGGAAGCGGCGCCCCGCCGCGGGCTGACTCTCGGGGGGCCCGGGGCAGGACACGCCCCC